TCCTGGTTACAATTTATGCAACGCGGTTTTTCTAGTTTTTCTTTGATCGAGCAGTCTCCAGTGCGGTGATCTTTTCCGCACTTTAGACACCTGGGAGTCATCCTACAGTTTTTACTAGAATGATTAAAATAGTTACAATTGTAACATTGGGTTGCCCCAGGTTTCTTTCGGAATGGGTCGACTGTTACACTACGGTCTGGAATATATTTTGTCCACAGTTCCAGCCTGGCGGATGCCAAGCTTCTACTTCAGTTCTGATGTGTCCTAATAGAAGGGAGAAAAACGAAAACACCTCAGTCGTAGAGCCGACCTTGGCAGAGAAAACTGGTTGGTAGGGGGAAAGAAACGCGAAGCGTTTCGGTTCTCGAACTGGGTTGGAGATAAACGTTTCGTCGAAACGTTTTGAAGAACCATAGGGTGAATTTTTTTCGGTGATGAATCATGCTGTTTGGAAGAGATGTTACTCTGCAGTGATGGATATTTTTTTTTATTAAAACGAAGGTGAAATGTCCGCTGAACTGTGAGGCATACGGTGGGTGGATGGGGGAGATTGCGAAAATAATTTTGCGAGTTTATAGTAGGGTTGTTGTGATATGGAATTGAGGAATGAAAATTTGACGACAAATTTGCTATGAGGGTATGGATGGGTTCAACACAAAGTTCTTCATGGAGTACGGATCTTGGGATGAATCTGGGAGCTCTTGCTATGATGCGTAATACTTTATTTTGTAATCTTTGGCGGCTTTCAAGATGGTTATTTCCTGCTGCGCCCCAGATGGCACAGCCGTAAGTTAGAATGGGTCTAAGATAAGTTTTAAATATGAAAATTCTATTTTTTAACGACAGTTTTGATTTCCTTCAAGCAGCTCGATGAGGGAGAAATGTTTGGACCAGTATTTTCTTGATTTCGTTGAAGTGCGGTCGGTAGGTGAGATTATCGTTTAAAGTTAATTCAAGATATGAAGTTTCGAAAGTCCAGTCTATTGTTTCGACGAAAAGTTTAAGTTGAGTAGGCATAGTTTGGGATCTTTTTTTTCTAAATATAATTGCGTTTGTTTTTTCGGTATTAATTGAAATTCTCCACTTAGTAAGCCATATTTCAAGTTGGGAGAGGTATGCTTGAGAAGTTCGAACTGCTTGGTCGGCGGTGGTGCTATTGCAGAGTATGGCGGCATCGTCGGCAAAGAGGCAGACGGAGACTGATGGAGTGGTGGGGAAGTCGCTAGTGTAGATATTGTAAAGTGCGGGCGACAAGATGGATCCCTGTGGCGTTCCCGCTGCAATGTTGCGTATACTTGATGAGGTACTATTAATTTTTACATTAAAAGTCCTATTGTCCAGATAATTATGTACAATTTTAACGAGGTAGGTTGGAAATTTTAATTTTATCAGCTTGTAAATCAGTCCGTCATGCCACATTCTATCGAATGCTTTCTTTACGTCCAAAAAAATGCCGACGGTGTAGGACTTCGTGTTGAACCCGTTGATGATGGTATTAGTTACTCTTAGAAGTTGATGTTGGGTGGACGTCTCTTTACGGAAGCCGTGCTGAAAATCCGGTATTAAGTTATTCCTATCACAGTGATCAATGATGCGTGTGAGGATGATTTTTTCAAATATTTTTCCAAGGCAGCTTAGGAGGGAGATGGGTCTGTAATTTTCTGCGAATTTTGAATCTTTTTTAGGCTTCGGCAAAACAGTTATTTGGGCATGTTTCCATTCCTTTGGGAAGTAGTTAAATTGGAGGCTTCTATTGAAAATCTTGGTAATGTATGTTATGGCATTTAAAGGGAGGGACTTGAGAGCAATGTTCTTGATTCCGTCATGGCCCGGAGCTTTCTTGTTATTGAGGTTTAGTATAATGTCCATGACTTCTTCAGGTGAGGTTAGTGGAGCGGTGTGGCGTCTGGCATTACGGTCCATATAATTTTCGATTTTATCTTCCACTCGGTCGATGAAATCGTCATCATATGGCTCCGGATTTTCTTGAAATGAGCTCTCGAGAGAATCAGCAAACAAATTAACTTTGTCCTCAGTACTATAATGGAGGCCCATGGGGCCTACTATAGGAGGGATATGGAAAGATTTATTTTTATTAGAATGAGTTTTAACAATTTTATACAGAGAGTCGTCATCAGGGGTGGCTTCTGCAAGAAGTTTATCCCATTTAAAATTATGGTAGTTTTGAAGCTCTTTTTTGATTTCTTTTTGAAGCTTATTTAGTTGAGTTTTATAAGGAGGGTATTTAGTGTCCTGCCAATCTTTACGAATTCTATTTTTTAGTTTAATTTTATCCCTGATGACAGAGGGGATAGTGTTAAGGGGTTTATTAATACTTTTAAAGATACTACTATTATTGTAAGCATTTTTAAGAGAGAAATTAAAGTTATTGATAGCCGTTTCAATATCGTTAGTACTATTAATTATTGGGTTACCAGGAAGGGAGTTTGTTAGAATTTCTTGAAATTTCTTCCAGTTGGGAAAAGCGTAGGTACTGAGGGCAGGTGCGGTAAAATTATCCAAACACACTTCAAAGAGAACAGGGTTGTGATCACTAGAGAGCTCGGGAATTGATGTAACATCGGTGATTGTCATACCTTTGCAGATAGCTAGGTCGATCACCGTGTTTCTGAGATTCTTGTGGAAGTGAGTTGGTTCCAACGGAGCATTAAGGGAGTATCCGGTGCTGTCGCAAAATCTTCTAATTGTATGTCCTGCGACATTCTGCTGGGCTATTGGACTCCAGGAAGCATGTTTTGCGTTCAGGTCGCCGGCGACGAGGACGTAATCCTGGTTCCTGAAGAGCTGATGAAGATCTTGGATTAGGATTGGTTTTCTGGGTGAGCGGTAGGCTGAGATCACTGTGATAGGTTGCAAATTTGTTCTTTCTATTTTTATTGCTGTTGTTTCAAAACTTGGATTATTGATTACTATTTCATGATGGGGAATACTTCTTTTGATTAAAATTGCAGTTCCGCCGCCACGGCAGGTGCGGTCGGTCCTGTAGATATTGTAGTTAGGAAAGGCAAGGTGATGACAGGGTTGGAGGTGGGTTTCTTGTAAGTTAATGACGTCTGGATTCCATTCAGAGATAAATTCCCTGAATTCATCCACACGCGTTCTGATGCCGTTGGCGTTCCAAGACACCAACGTTAGGTTGGAATTATTTCTGTTGACTGGATTAAATGTTAATTTCGTTTCTGCAGAGTTGATTAATGGCCCTGAGGCGTCCGAATCTGGTGGGGATAGTGGTGGCTATTTTAATGAACTCTTCCAATAACTCGAATGTCTCTTGAACGGCGGGGTTCTTGAGTTCTTCAAATATATCAGAGATGGTTTCCGGGTTATTGCTTTGTTTCGATGGGGAAGTAGTAGTTGTAGGGGGTTTCTGTTGGTTGGTTGAGGTGGACTGTTGGCGCTGTGCGGCTGTTTTGGCGCGCTGCTCCCAAAAGTTCACTTTAGGCGATTCGGGTGTAATGTAGGCTTTTTTCTTCTCGTTTTTCTTCCTCGCCTTCTCTTCGGCGATCCGATGCCGGGGGTTTTTTGGGCAGTCAAGGTAGTTCGCTGGGTGTTCTCCCTCGCAGAGACAACATTTTGGCTTCTCATCGATTGGTTTTTTGCAATCCTTCGCCAGATGGTTTTTGGCGCACTTGACACACCTGGGTGTTCGGGTGCAATATTTGCTGGAGTGAAAAAATCCCTGGCATCTGAAGCATTGGGGTGGTCCATATTTTTTTCTTAGAGCTTCGACTTGGCATTTAACAAATCCGATGCTCGTGACTGTTTTGAATATTTTCTTATGCGCCTCGTTGCTTTCCATGGAGAGCATGAAGAGGGGCATCGGTTGGCCGGTTTTTTTACTTTGCATATTATGACAGTCCTTTATGTGGAATCCTTGGTTTTCCAGGTCGGCTATTATTTGGGTGGGAGACATGTCGGTAGGAAGGCCTCGGATGACTGCTCTGAGCAGTTTGTCTTCAGGCAGCATGTACGTGTGACTTTCCAAGGAATTTTCTTCAATGTATCTCCTTATCTGATGGTAGGCATAAGGAGTCTTGGGGTAAATTCTGAACTTGGTGCCGATGAGCTTGGCTTCCAGTTTCTGTTTAGTGATGGTTTGTAGGTGCTGAAGCAGGGCCGCCTGATTCTTCACGTTGTCAATATTTATAGGAGGGACGTGAGGTTTTTTCTGGGGTGCCGTGACACCGGGATGGCTTGTGGCTGAAGAGGTTCCTTCTTGGGGGTCAACCACATCCATAGTATCCTCGTTGTTGGTGAGAAGTCCAGAGAATTGGTTCTGGGTTTCTATTATGTCCGATGTTTTGGCTTTTTTAGAGTCCAGGCCGTTGTCTCCGGAATTTCTTCTGCCCTTCTTTTTGGACAGGATTACTTGAAATGGAGCATCGACGGGTTTAGATGGAAGGCCCCAGGCATCAATTTGGGCTTGGAGTAGCTTGTTTTGCTCAGCTAACTCCATTTTCCTGATGTGGGTGAATTTAAACTTCGCCTCGTCGAGGACGTCGCCCAGCTGGCGCAAGTTCGATGATTGGTCTTCGGGACGATTGAAGGGGAATTCCCTCAGTTGAGTATCGATTTCTTCGTTGCGCAACCTTGTACGACAAACTACAAGTGAAGGTTGGCTAGCCCTAAAACTTGTTTAAACCTGCAATCCTGGTTCCTAAGGCCAGGAGCTTGTTATTGTACTACTGTGCCTATTTTTTCCTATTTAGTATAGTTATCTTAGGTTCTATAACTATCTGTGTATTTATATATTTTGGATTATATATATATATATCTTGTTCAAGTTTTCAATTGTTAATAAAATACTTTCTATTCATCTGTTCAAGTTCAAGTACATTTTTTAAAACTTATAGTGGATAACACTTGATGTTAATATAGTTTTTTCAAATATTAATCCATTAATTAAATTAAAAGATTAATAAAAAACAAACAAAAATAATAGTCCAAAACCATATACGAAAAGGTAAATTGCTTGTTGTGTCCCTGTAGCCCAATGGTTAGCGGAATTGGACTTCTGATCCAAAGGTCGTGGGTTCAAATCTCACCTGGGATGTCCTAATTTCTGAGAATGTGATTTATTTTACAATAATATTTTATTGGAATAATTAAATTTAATTAATGAGTAAATAGTAACA